TAGAATATTGTCGTATATGGGTCGTGATCAAAATGTTGATACTGGTTTGCAAATATCGCAAATTGATTTTGAAAAACACTATCCGATTCATTACTTTTCATTGGAACATCTTGACATGATGAGACAATCTGTTGTTGATATATACTTCCAAGCTCGGGTACAACGCCCTGCTGGTATAGCCGATTATAGAGCAGTTGCTGTCATTCTCAGTGATAAATCAATGTTGTTAGAAAGAATTGGCGGACGAATGAGACTTATTGATGCACCAGTGGTAAACCTTTGATTTTCCAAACATGTAGTTAGGATTTTCACAATAAGATCAATTGAAAGTGTAAATTACATTTTAGAATAGAATGACATATAGTATTGTTAATGTCCAGTTGACTGATGGTCAGGTCAAGAAATTGAAATCAAAGTCGGCTAAAGAATGTGGAACCACAATAACGTTGGAACCCACTCAAATGTCCGGTGGTGCACATAAATTATCATTGACAGATCGTCAAATAAAACATTTCAATGATGCGCTAAAGAACAAACGAGGAGTTCAAATTGATTTTTCGAAAGCAGCAATCGCCAGTCTGATAAAATCAGGTGGTATATTCCCGCTGTTAGTTGCTATTCCAGCATTGATTTCAGCGGCTGCCCCAGCGGTTGCGAAGGCGGCAGCGTTAGAAGCCGTTGGTACTGCTGCAGGAATGGCCCTGAAAAAGGCTACTGGGAAAGGCTATAAAAAAAGGAAAGGGTCTAAGACTACCAGGAACTCCACACAATTGGTACAAGGGCACGGACCTTAGAATACCAGGAACGGCTTATTAGTGGAAAAATCCCTAGGATTTTCACCAATGTCCAATTTTGATTTGATTGATGCTGTAAAATCATTATCAATAAAAAAACTTTAGAGGAGTTTTCATGAGAGATCAATTACCGTCAAAACCAATGAAAAATGAAACGGGTATTATCAATCGTGATAACAGCAGCGCAAAAGGAACTCATTGGGTCGCATATGCAATTGATCCACGTGGAATTGTATATTTTGATTCATATGGATTAGCTCCACCAAAAGAATTCATGCGATATGTATCCACAATAACAAAGTCATCTCCAATTTTTTATTCCACGCTACCAACACAACAGTTAAATGATCCACCGATATGCGGTCGTGAAGTATTAAACGTCCTTGCAGAGATATCTAAATTTCCAAGGAAACCACCACAAGTTGTTGTTAATGAATATACTAGCAGGCAATGGCAAAAACGATAGCGTTATGATTTAGAAAAACGTTAGCGTTTTCGTATAATGATTGATATTTGGGGACGACCTTTATCAGAATCAAAAAAAAAAAACAGAAACCGATAGTAAATTAGCTGTCGAAAATGTAAAAAAAATAATCGAAGATGAAATCGCCGAGACATTAAATTTGTCAAGTGTAGATCCTGGGGAAATAGTTGTATTTCAAGATCGCCAGGGCAAATTGAAATCTAGTAATGTTTCATTGGATGATGTCTTAATAAGAAAACGTGACGTCGTTGAAGATACAATAGTGTTATATTCAAATAATGTAAAACTCAAACTAGGTGTATTTGTTTCTACAATCACAGATGCATTAAAAAATTTAAATGAAGAACTTGAAAAACATATAACAACGTATACTTCCCTTCGTAGAAATATTATCAATAAATATTTTGGAACACCAGCGGTAACCTCTCCATCTCTCGCTGAAATTAAATCTTATTTTGATGAAATTAAATCCAATATTAAAAATATTAATGATGCTGGATTTAATATTATTAGAGATAACATTAGTAATATTAAAAAATCTATCGAGGATATTACAAAATTTAAAACAGACAATCTTCCGCTACTTGAAAAAATAAAGATTCCTCATGAGAGGAATATCATAAATATGGTATACACAGTTCTCTCTGGATCATTAGATTGGGAACCTAAAAAGAATACAATAACTCTCACTGTGTCAAGCAAGGGTATTTATCGATTAACAATAGTGTAACTGAACCAGTTTAATATATCATCATCGACTTCATATGGATACAACAACCTGATTTCAACGACTATTGACGTGGATGAATACAAACGGTTTACAATAACAAGCACTGATCCTAATTTAAATAAGACATCATTTGTATGGTACATGGAGTTTGTAGCTGATCTAAATTAGAATTTTTAACAATTAGAAACCACTTGAGATTTTAAAATAATATGATTCCATCATCGCAATATCGCTATGATACCGTCAAAGAGTTCTTAACAAAACTCAAAACACTCATTGATGAGTATGAAATAAAAATTAAAAAGTATCGCAGGAGAATTACCGCAATTGATGTTACAGTATACTCAGTATCTGGTATAATGGCCGGTGCTGGTATTATACTATCTTCAGTAACAATGGTAGCTCCGATTGCTGTCCCAATTGCTATTTCCGCGGTGACAACATTTGCTGGAATTGCAAATGCTATTACTAAAAAAATATCATCGTGTTCTCAAGAAAAACTTAACGACTATATAGTAAAACATCAAGCAGTATCTAACGGTTACTCACAATTATCCTCGTTGATGTCATCATCGATTGATGACACGATAATTACCGAAGACGAATTCTCCGCGATGATACGTATTTATGATACTACGATTAAAAACGCTAGCGTTTTTTCATCTATTGCAAAATTAGACATTGTAAATAATAATAATAATAATAATAATAATAATAATAATAATAATAATAATAATAATAATAATAATATTAATAATAATAATAATAATAATAATGTCGCAAGAGATTCAACTACTTCAGCGGATAGCAGAAAATACCACTCCGCGGAAAACAAGCATGATATCAATATCGTCAACAAACCCTAAATTCAGTGTGAATTTTCCTTCACCTGTTTCAGTAAAGGAAATCGCGTTGGCAAAATTACGAGTGTATCATAGTTGGCCTAATATTAGATCGGTTCCATTTGGCGGTCAGAGATCTAATAATTCTCTGGTGTTTGCATATAGGAATAAAAAAGATGACACTCCAGATTGGAACGTTGTTTCAATACCAACTGGATCCTATCAAATTGAGCAAATTAATAATGAATTACAACGTAGAATAAAATCCATTACTAGAAAAGAATCAAAAATTGCGATAACAGTTCATGAACCAACACTATCATCTACAATTGAAATAGGCTCTCCTGGGTATGTTGTAGATATTTATAACAGTTCAATAAGAACAGTATTAGGATGGCCCGAAGATCCACCTAGAAATACTGGTAATTCCACGCCCGAGCCTGTAAAATCTGATTACGTCACTGATGAAATAGGACCTGAAAATCCATCAAAAACTTATAAAAAAATCGAGGATATAAACTTCACAAAAAGATATCGATATAAGGATCAATATGGTGAAGATGTGTTGAAAATTCCACTTTTTAATGATTATATCCCACAGGAAGGTGAAATTCTGGAAATACATGAAACAAGTCCAACATTTGTAGATATTAAAGATCACATCCTTGATAGAATGAATAATGATTGTTTGTTGTTATTACCCTCGTTAAGATCTGGCTTTCTTACACATGCTGAGTTTACTAGTGTAGTCGCTGCGGGTAATAAAATCATCGATGATATGGAAATATTTAATTCGAGGATTACTAATCTCTTCACTGATGAAAATAGCCCGATTTCAAAAACTAGCTCAGCCCAAGATTATAAAATAAATATAAATGAAAATCCAAATTATAAATTACCAGGATATAACGTTCCCGAGTTAAAGAAAAAACTCAGAACTGCCATCGACGAAGGATTTAATAAAATTTATCAATCATGGAAAGATAGCCAGCCGAAGCCTATTATCCTCACTTATAATAATTCTCCCGTCGGCGACGGTAGACATATCGCACCGAACAATGTGGATATTTCATCAGTGATCGCACTTAATTTAACATGTGATGTAATCGAAGGAAGTTATCAAATTAATATGGAACAATCAAATCAAGCACGACAAGGTTACATTCTTTATTCATTTTCACCAACAGCCCCCCCCGGATTTTTAATTGTTTAGAATCCGACTAATCCAGTCTATATGCAATGTCAAAATGATTCACTAACTAGAATTAATTTTACACTCACCGATCAGTCAAATAATTTGATTGATCTACGTGGTGAAGTATTATCGATTAGTCTGTTTGTGAAAAGCTAACAAATAATTTGTATTAATCAGCAGCAGGGGAGGGGTGAGATGACAACATATTTGCGACGTAGATGGCAGCAATTTCCAGCGTGGTTATGACAATGTATTTGCGACAAAATCGCTAATTATCCATTTGTAAAATGGAGTCTTTATTTTTTTTTTTGGTTAAAATATGAGATTTCGTAGGAAGGCTCCATTTGGCATTCTGAGGCTTTAATCGATTTTGTCGCAAAAATTTGTAGGGTTCACCCGCCCTGCTGCTTAAGTGTTATTCGAAACTTAAATAGATAATAAATTAGAAAATAAATATAAATAATTCATCGTTATATACTTCTTTTAGAAAAGCGGCATAGTTTATGAAATTTGTTATTGTAACGGAAAGAAGCAAAATGCTGTGGGGTTCGAGCCACTTTAGCCTATTCAATAAGCAAGAACACGAAACTCTAGATTTAAGGCTTCGTACCAGCAGAACTGGGGATTCAAGCGTCTCATATATAGTAAGATGTTAATTAACCGGACTCCTGACTATTCCTTATTACTGATTACTACTGTGTCCCATTTCCTGAAGTTGTGTATGTGATTTAGATTTTAACGCAAATTTAACAATTTCTAAGTCATTTCGCTACGATGTCTGCATTTTGGCAGTTTATAATGATGTCTAGCACTGGAAAATTATGCCGAAGACATGTAGCATGATGTCCCACCAAGTCATATTATCCTGACACCAGGTCGACCAGACGTATAATAACTTCTTATTGCTGAACGTCAAGTGAGACAGCTGTTTGTACCTTTTTTGTAAGTCTTGGTATAATTTGGCCTTGAATCGAACCACGCCCTACCGCATCCTAGGCGGACGCTTCAACCACTAAGCCACCAGATCCTAAAGTTGTACTTATTACAATGCATGAAAATGAACCATAACCATATTTGTCTTATAACATTATAAACAGTTTCATTATCAAAGTTTTACACACAAAATACGAGAGAAAGAAAGATAGTTCTAAAACTAATCCAAACTATTCATAAAGTTCTATTCACGTCTGTAAAGATTATAATATTCCAAATCATATTTTAATCCTCGAATGTACAAATCTGCCAGTAGGCCTGATGCATCAGACTGTTAATTACCAAAGTTTAACGGGATAATTTACAATATTTCCATAATTAAACATTCAGTCCTATGAGCAAGAATTATCTGGTTTAACAATCAAAACAAACTATTGGTCTTAAATAAAACAAAGATCAGTTTAAAATAGTTCTGCTGACTCGATGTTACAAGAAGAACACAAGAAATATGAAGGAGAAAGTTGTCTAGCCTTATATATTGTTATTCAGGAGTAAGTGGTAAAACACTCATTTTGCAACTACTGTCATATGTCAAATTGCAAATAATAACCATTGTCAACGGTCACAAATGACCTATCGTAACAAATATAAAATATCGGGCCGGCATATGCAATGGGAATCTCCCCAAAATGTGTCATCGTGATTACCAATACAGTTTTTTTTAGCAATTGTACCTTTACGTAATCATCAATTTATAGGTCTGACGCAATGTTTATCTTATTTGTCTTATTGTCTTAAAATATAACCTAAATACGTGCACGAAATTTAACTATAGATAACCACTAAAGCATGCTGACGTGAATAAAATTACAAAATTAATACATGTACGTAGCATCACTAATTATTTTATACTTCTGCCGGAAGGTAAATGCTTATTCCTGGTCAATCAGTTACTTTGCATGTTAGAAATGTTCCGTTCTTGTAATCTTAAACTGACCTTAGGTTATTGCGATATAGTATTCCTGATCAGGTCGAACAATTTATTACCCAAGGATACAAAAAAATGTGCAATACAATGGCCTGATAAAAAAAACATTTAGGATGCAAAAGCAATCATTGTAGATAATACAATCAAATAATGTATATTTAAAATCTAATTTTGTCAGAACAGATTATTGCATTATATATTATCAGTTATGTAGAGAATAAATATTTGGAACTAATAATCAGTTGACAGAAATAGCACTCCATACCATTTATTACATGTTTCTTTGCTTTGCGTGTCTTACAAAGCTTTTCTGCGTCTTGGAAATTTCTAAGTCCATTTAATGTTGTTAGTACATCTTTCCCTTGAATCTAACACTGTTGGAAACTGATGTCAATAGGTTCCCAGTGTATAATGATATATCATACAGTACGTGTAACATTTAAAAACTTGTATTTTGAATCTTTATAAAATATTTATCAGCACCTAATTTTAAATGGCAATATGTAATAAGTTTCTTGTTTTGCTTTTTTTTTGTTTTGTTTTTTTGTTTTGCATTCTTCCACATTGACATTTTCCACTGGATACGGTATTTCTGTTCGTCGTAAAGATCAAAGCACTGCGTATATTGTAGTGCTAATTAATATCGATGTATATTTTTATATTTTACTGACAGTCTTTAAAACGCAAATAACTACATGGAGACTCATACCGGAAACCTTGAAGAAAATGAAATAACGAAAGCTAAGTAATACGCAACAACTATCGGATATAATGGTGTAATGTATCCCATGTTAAACTGTTATTCATAGATGCTCTATGTAGACACTTGTATGGAGTAAGGATGCAGAATGTTATAGCGTGATTCAGTTGAATTCAATTAAATCACGCTTATTCTATATGGATTAGATAATACATCAATATTAGTTATATGGACTCAGTCATAAATTATTCCTGTTTAGCAAACGCTAACATTAAGGAAAATGAATCTAAATCTGATGGGTAACATGAATAACAAAAAAAAAAACTGACTATAGTGACCCTAACAGATAATAAATATAGCATAAACACAAACTTAGTAAAAAGTTATTTAAGCACATCTTTAATCTACATCATATATTTTACGTGTATATTACAGGTGCATATAATTATTGAAGCCCACGTGTACCAAACACTATATATCACTAACGTTTTGAAAAAGATAGCTAAGCATGAAATTAAACATATTGTGTTAGAGATTTTAATAAAGTAATGGTGCAGAACTGTATGTAAGTTGAGATAATCGATCGGCTTTTTTCATGTCTTGGTTAATATACTCAAAAATGTAGCAATATCGTGTTTCACCTAGTTCAGGTTACGATAAAATTGTCCAAGGGAGTTTGTTGGCCGCGCCTTGAAGAGAGCAAATGCTTTGATTGACATTTATGCTCGACTTAGTCTATCTGTTGAAAGACAAATCTCACAATAGTATATAATTCAGAGCATGAGTCCATCGTTCACTGCATTGCTGCTGTGTGCTATACTAACAGACAATTAACGAGTTGGTGAATATATCTAATGATTACATTTCTTTGTCTCGTTCTGCGGGTAGTATATGCCACACTAGGTACGATAACGTAAATCTGATCCACAAGTTTGAAGAATACACATTTTATCAATGGGAGACTATCGATTTTGAACACCAGACTGAATTTAATTTATTGTATCCCTTTGATCAGACCATACAATCATTCGTGTATTCAAGATATCGGTGAAATCTAAATTTATGACATTTATGAGACAAACGTATCAATAACTGTTTTACTCATTTGAAAACATTTTGAACAAATGACAGTCTTCACTTTTCCAGGTGCACATGGGTGATATCGTCGTGGTTTTAAACACTCACATATATATATATATTATGTGTGTGTGATCTTTGACAATGTCATTGTCAACTTTCAGTTTCATTTTCAATTAAATTTCTAGTCTAGTTTTTCGACCTTTTCCTTTCTAAATCGTCATTTGCAAATTTACTTTCCCCAAAATAGTCCTCAAAATTTCATCTTCAACTTAACATTTTCAAGAATTTTTTTAGAGGTAAGTACTGACATCTGTGACGCTTTCAACATTCATAGTAATTTGTATATTTGATTTTCAATTTTGAACTTATCTTTTCGAATTGCATTTTTTCCAAATTTCTCTTTCAAATATTTGTTTTCAGTTCTTATATTTAAATGTTTGTTTCTTAATTTTATTTATTCTGATCCTTCAATATCATGGTTGTTGTGTTTCTTTAAATACATTATTTTGCGCTAAATCATTGACTGACAGAAACGGGACGGAAACTTCGTAAATAAAGTGTTTATCCTACTTGGAAAACAATTGTTTGCCTTTGTATAGAACTGCGATGGGCAGACGATCATACGCACAATATAAACACAACCTTGTGGTTTAATATGGTTTAAATTTAATTTTTGTTTGTGGAAGACAGAAATGCAAAACATTACGAATCCTTAAAGAAAGAAGGATCAATTGATTGATTGGTTGATTGGTTTATATTTTTACGGCGCACCAGCACTATGTGGCTATTTAGCGCCAAAACATTAGGTTATATCCTTTTACATTTAAAACTGGTAAAATAATTTTATCGACAAGCGATTGGGGTCCAAACAGTTAAAGGTAAAGCGATAAAAATGTGAACGATGGTAAAGTATTAAAAGTTTCCCGATCAACGGGTTGTGCAAAAGATTGATAACGAAAACATATGATTGGCAATTAAAATCTATCGACTGCATAAATATAACAAAAAACTGAACAAGGTGATAAAATAAAAGCTAAAACTTATGACAGATATTTGCTTCCTTAAGGAAGTCTATAATGTTGGTAATGTTAACTGTATCAAAGAGCTCCCTCATGTCTTGCACAACGTATAAATGATTACGCGTAGGTTGAAGACCGAAGCATTCCAGCCTAAAGTGCTTAACGGTGAATGGTTCATTACAAGCTATGCACTCTGGTGGGTCTTCTCCTTTTAGTATGTAGATGAGTATGACCGAGTCAAATTCTTGCAATGACTACCTCCTCTCTACGGACGGATCTGTAGGAAGGGGTCCATTCTCCTAAGGTTGGCTTGATGGCATGAAGTTTGTTATTCACGGCATCATTCCATGATGCCTGCCATTTCTGGTGTAAACAGTCTTTGATACAACGTTTAAAATCAGTATAGGGTGCTTTAAAATCAGTTGGTTCTAGTAATAAGGCCATTTTAGCAGCACGGTCTGCTTTATCATTACCTTTAATTCCTACATGGCTGGGTAACCAACAGTATACTATATTGTGGGAGGTACTCAGCTCAGTATGCTTAAGGAGAATATTTGCTAATAATGGATTCTCCATTTTTCTGTTATGTAGCAACTGAAGTCCTGATAGTGAATCGGAGAAGATAATGCTGTTTAAAATAAGCTCGCTTGCAATGTATTGCAAAGCAAGGTTTAATGCTCTGATTTCAGCAGAAAAAATTGACGTACCATTTGGCAAGCGAACAGTTTTTATGTATTTTTCACTAACGAAGGCTGCAGCGGCCTTTACCTCATCTTTTGATCCATCAGTATATATTCTTGTATAATTTTTGAACTGAGAGAGGAGTTCATGGTAAGAGTTGAGGAAGATGGACGGGTTTGTTTCCGATTTTTTTTGCATCGTGTAGCGTGAAAAGTACCCTTGGCTGCTTAAGTTGCCATGGAGGTGTTTCGGAAATGGTCGTGTTCAGAATTTTAGAAATATCAACTTTTGTACTATCAAGGAATGGTAACATTCTAATGTCAAAGGCAGGTATGACATTTGGTTTATTGTCATATAAAGTTTTATATTTGGGTTCAAAAGCAGTCGAAAAAGCAGAGTTCAGAGGGTTTGATTTTAATTTGAGAGCGTATTGAGCGGAAAGCATTTCTCTTCGTTGTGCTAAAGGTGGTTCTTTCGCTTAAACGAGGAGGCTTTCACACTGAGATGTCTGATATGCTCCCAGGGCAAGTCTTATTCCATGATGATGGATTGGGTCAAGCATCTTCAAATAAGACTTTTTTGCTGAACCATAGACGATGCTACCATAGTTTAGTTTCGAGCGAATG